AGGTAGGTCTTCCATCTTCTGATAGGCTTCTCTGTCTACATATCTTGCAGGAGGTGTAATGTAATTTCTCATGATGCTTTTTATCTTTTAAGGCATTGTCCATTTTTCCACTGCTAATGCCCATTGCACGCTAAAACGTCGCCGGTTTCACTCCTTAGAGCATCCTTAGAAGGGGGAAAATGATTGTAGTCGGCTTTGGGAGCCGATCTTTTGGTTCTTGCCATCACCTTGTTGGTCGGTGATATGGTTCATAGACCGGGCAGCGCGGTACATGCACTGGACCAATGCGGGGGCCAAATCAGGACACGCCAAGCGTTACTAGGATTGCGACATCTGGTGGAGGCTTGTTGCGGCACGCCTGGGTGCGGGTTCATGTCACGCCAGCTGCCTTCGCTCAGTCTGGCGTTCAATATTTTGGATCCTATCTGAATATTCTGTACAGGAGGATGAGAATAAAGGCAATGCGATAAAAACAGCGCAGGTCTACTGTAACTTAAAATTATTCACGCGCAGCCACCCTACTGTGAGGCACACGGTACACATTGTCGGAGTCGACGGTCGAACCCTCGGTCGGCGATAACGACCAGTCCAGACTTCACTTATATTGCGTCACATCACTAGTCCAGCTGGATACATCCGGTAGCCTTGTAGTTGTATACTATCCACCTTTGACCAATCACATTGCTTGATAGTGCATTAGGTGTATTGGGACAAAAACTTGCTTACGCTAAACAGCTTCAATTGATTTACCCTCCAATGCAAAAACGACTGAAGCAATCTACGTAATACTGTGAAAAATGCAAACAAAATCAGGTGACCTTATCATTTTTAGACAGTTTGTATTGAAGTCACCTTTCTCCTTACGTATCATTTTTTGAATTTTTAACACAACCTTTCTTAATCTGAAAGGATCAAGAAACTTTAGGCCTATCAACCTATTATCTAGTTAAATGGTCTTTTTTTCTGGGACATTTAGGCCTCAGTTTCTGAACATTTGCACGCTCGTTCAGCGTAAGTGTATGATTTTCCTTTGACAGGTGGTTTTGGGAGACGCTATCTTCTTCAACTTCTGTTTGACGAATTGCCGGAAACTCGAAGCAATCATCAGGTATATCCTTTGATTGCCTCGGATTAAAAAAGTGAAGCACTTTCGAAGACCGCTCGCATATAACGGAGAAAGTATCAAGTACTAAGGAGACGCAACTCAACCTGAATTTCATGAAAGAGCCTAAGCAAAAGGCGTGAGTGAAAAAGAGTATGCAATGGCAAGGGAAACGAAACATACTTCGTGTTTCTGCCGCTGCGTATTCTGTTCATGTGGTGTTCGGGGAGCTTGCTTTCCATCCAGAGCCTCCCTCAAGTCTGCACTCTTCGCGTCAGCCCAGCCCTTGATATCGTTCATTTCGTCAGCAAGTTTGTACCAGGCCACCAAGTCCTCGTTTCTCTTGATGTCCTCATCCAACTGCGCGAGCCTTGCTTTTTGCCTGATAGGACGGGGAGGGGGTACGGTACGAATTAGTTGCGGTTGCATTTGTGTAGATGAATAAAAATGAATATTCTGCAAATATTTCCACGTTTAACTTGAAAATTTTTTTCAGCAAGCATATTTCTTCGGCAATACATCATCAGGCCAGTACATTATCCTTGCTCCTGTGGAACAGGATACATTGGCCGAACAACGAGACGTCTGGAAAACAGGGTACGTGAGTACAACCGGGCTGGTTAAGTAAAGGTGAAATAAGGCCGATCTCGAGTTCTATTCGCGCAATCCTTGTCGATACGAAATAAGCAAGTCGATACTAATTAAGTCTTTCAGGTTGTCTACCGGGCACCAGCCAATTTCTCCAAGGGCCTACGCCAACGGCTGCTTGCAACAGCCGAGGCAGTGAATATACGGCTGGCGAATCCAGTGCTGTGTTGTCAGGAGACGCTTACACAAACAATTTCACTTCGGTGGCCGACGCCAACGCCAGGTAGCGATCGCATATCGCTCTTACCCCCTAGTGACGGTCGTTCCCTCCAGGCAAATTACAGTAAATATCACATTACTTACCTGACCCGTAACCAACGGTCACAAACTATCCTAAGT